GGCAATGACTGCACACCCCCCTCCCCTCCACACACACAGACACACAACTGTATGTAGGAATTCATGAAGGTTTCATGAGACAGTTGTCTTAAACCCGGGGTTCATCCCCTGGCAAAAGTCATGGGCGTTCATCCACCAGAGCGTTGACACTGGCAGTTCAGATGGCCCTCAGAGACTTTCACTGAGTGCCCGTGGCCGTGGCGAAGCAACCCTAGGGATTCTGCAGCCCAGATCTCATCTCATCTGACTCCGTCATTTTGCAGCTGAGAAATCAAGGGATGATTTACTCAGGGCCGTATGGCTGAGTGAAAACTGGGATTCAGACTCAAGCTTGATCCTCTGTTGGCTGTTCCTTCCAACCACCATGGCCCCCCACCTTGCAGGAGGTGGAGGACAGAACAGTTAAACACAGCACATAGCCGCAGAGAGCACACAGGCCGATAAGCTTGGCCCAAATGCACATTGAGAGCCTCCCAAATCACCCCCACCAGGGGGAAGCAGTGTGCCTCTGTCCGTCCCTAGCCGCCAACAACCCTGCCATTTACCTGGAAGTTCTCTTTCATTCTCTCCTCATTGAAGCTCTTGGCCAGGGCCACCACCCTCCGCTGAAGCTGGTAGCGCAGGGCGACCTGGGCCGGAGTTCGCCCGTGCTTTTCCGCGATGGCTCCGAGGACCGGATCCTGCAGGAGAGCTGGGTGGTTCTTCTTCACCCTGGGAGGGAGGCAGACCTGCTCTGTGTCTGATACTAGTCACTTCCACCTGGGGACAGCTCACTCAGCCTAGGCATGGCTAAACCTCTAGAATCTTCCTTAAGACCCCCGGGCTGTCTTAATATCTCTTTTGCTTCTTTTGGTAAATCCAAAGAATAAATACAAAAGAAACCAAGGTGGAAAGGAGAAATTGGGCATTTTTTTTCATTTTTTAAACATTTCAGAGAAACTCAGTAAAAGATTGAGTAAGTCAAGAAGACAAAATTGCCCAAAGACCCAATCACCATCATAATAAACAAGAAGTTTGTAAGAATTTGCTATTTCAAAAAATGCTTTCCACTAACTCTCTGTTTTGTTCTTTTTTGTTTGCTTGTTTGTTTCTCCCATGGGAAACCCTCTTGTTTATTTCATTAAACAAAAATGAAGAAAGCAGCACAGGAGCAACTTTAAAGTCCAAAGAGACACCAACTCTGTTTTAAGCCTGTGGAAGCTGATACTCCCTCTCCTTGCTGCCCTGCCCAGCCTCCTCTGTGGTCCCCGTCAGTACGTGCAGAAGCCTGTCAGCTAACACAGGGGGTTTTCAATGCTTTTCCCTTGGTTCTTCACCTGCTCATTGCCTGTCACACCTGAGGCCGGCAGTGCATCATTTAAGATTTAAAGGTAAAAATTCTCAGTTTTGTTCTTAAGTGCTAAAAGGCACACATCTACATTCCTCTTGAAGAAACTAAACCTTAACAGAAATTGTTCCTTGTCTCATATCCCTCAACTGTTAAGTGTCAGAACCGTGGCTTGGAGTCACCTTGTCACTCTTAAAAGCCAAAGCATTTGTACTGGACGAATGTTTTAATCAGTCACTTGATTAGTCAATAACGGTTTGTTGCATCCCTACAATGTGGGCTAGGGGAAGGGTTTGCGGAGGTGGGTGGTCACTGCTGACTATCCTTAACTTCCCCCGGACAGTAGAGGTGGCTCTGGAAGGCAGGGTCTAGGACCAGAGTACCTTCCTAGAGATCATTACCATGCCTTCCTCGACTCAGACCCCAAAGGGGCGTAAGCAACAAGAAGGACGTCCTTGGATGTGCAGAACTCCAGCAGTTTGCTCTGGTTGAGGTAAGGGTGACATTCCACCTGAAAGTTGCCAAGCAGAAGTCGGTTTACAGGACCGGCAGGACCACCAACACCAGATTCACGAGGAACACAGTCCTGTATTCACGGTGTCAGAAATACTTAGGAAAACCAGCAACACGGGCCAGCACGGCCCTTCACCCACAGGGGCACCCGTGCAGCTCCCGGAGCTTGCCTTTGGACGACAGCCCCGCGGCGGCGGAGCAGAATGAACGGATGAGCTCAGGGCTCGCAGAGGACAAGTGACATGGGAACAGAAATAAATAAGAATTAAAAAGTGGTGCAGCCTTTAGAACCATCTTCAGTAACTTAAAATACATTCTGTTCTCTTGAAGCAGCTAATGTCCAAAGGCACAGGAATGAGAGGGGCGTGTCACTGCTGACTTTGCCGAAATGAGGAAAAAGGAAGCGGGAGAGGAGGGGGGAGCGGTGGGGGGGCAGATTGATGGGGCCCACCTGGTTGCAGACGGGCTTGTGCTTGAGCCCTGGCTTGTTCAGGATCTTCTCCAGCTGCTCGTGGTTAAAGTTGGACACCCCGATGGACTTGGCCAGTCCCGCGTCCTTGC